GCTGAGCATCTGGTGGCCCAGGACAGTGCTATCAAAATGCTAAATGCTCGCATCAAAATTGTCTTGCAGTACATTAAAGATGTTGAAGCCGGAAAACTAAAGGCGAATCAGGAAATACTTCGAGAAGCGTATGCCCTATGCCATCGCCTGCCCATCATGCAGGTGCCCGCCTTCCAGGAGGAGCTGTACACACAATGCAACGACGTCGGCTTGATCAGCTATCTGGGCACGCTGACCAAGGGCTGCAACGACATGCATCAGTTCGTCAACAAATTCAATATGCTCTACGATCGTCAGGGCTCGTCGCGTCGCATGCGAGGACTCTATCCCTAAGTAGACACCTGGAGATATTTATTTTAAATATATTTATATATATTCTGAATTGCTGCCCCATTAAATGTGAAACACTACAAAGATTTAGTAAATTTATGGAATGTTTATGTTACAGTTACAGATCTGCTTCCTCTATTACATATTAAAATAACCTCCAGTTGGTGGAGCATATGCAGCATGCATATCATTCGAGAATTCCACATAGATCCTACCTGACTTTTCCCACAATGAATATTCAGGCTTATTTTTAATGTAATGTTTATTATTGTTTGCAAACTACACACACAGTTGGAATTAAGCAGTTGGGGAAACCACATACATATGTTTATCACTGTCTCATCTTACGCTTCTGTATACATATAGCTGGCTTCAAGCTACTTAAATTCAGATCAAATGTGTCCTAAACACTTAAATACATAAATTTCTGAGGTGGGCCCGTTCTCTCTAGTGGTTATAATCGTCGAGTTTGATATTGGCGGCATATTGCTGCAAGAACTCCACTTCCAGCGGATGCATCTCCTTGGCGGGTATGATCAGTGAGTGGAGTGGTCCGCCCAGATCCGTGGCACGCATCCCGTGCAACGTGCTAACCACAATTTGTTGCGTATCCTGACCAACGCGGGCCAGGCCCACGCATAACGATTGTTCGTTCAGCACAGTGTTGCGCTCTAGAGCGTCCTTCTTCTCCACAATGGTCAGCAGCTGCTGGGCGGCTTCGGCGACACTCATGAAACGCGGCGGCATGTACTCCTTGCGTTTGCGCATTAGCGATTCAGGTGTGGGCTCCTTAACCTTAATGTCGAGAAGGCAAAGCGTGTGCATATTGTGCAGGCGATTTAGTTTGATTTTATCGTAGAAGCTGTCCGGCTTCCAGGTCTCATCCCAATATGGTATGGAGACGGTCTCGCCAAATTTGTATAGCTGCAGGCCACAGCAGCCAATGGCATTCATAATGGACGCATTATGTATGACCTTGTAGGGTATGTTCTTCTCCTTGGCGCGCAGAATGAAATCTGTGTGAGTGGTGGCTCCGAAGGGATCGCCCACCACAAGTAGGGCAACATCTGACTCCCCAGCACCAGCCAGAATCTCATCGGCTCCCTGTTCCACAAGGTCACGGTCCGCTAGCAACAGGGGACGCCCATAAAACTCTTGCTACCGAAAAAATTAATATTAAAATATAAAACTACATAACTCGACATTTTATTTTTGCGTTACACGCACCGCGGTCCCTACTCACCATATCCTCAAGGCTACAGCCGAGAATTGAGGTATACATTTCCAGGTACACACGACTACATTGCTTTACAATTTCAAGGCCTTTCACCGTGATATCCTTGATATCGCCCAGACCGAGTCCAATTAAGTAGAACATGTTGCTTGGTATTTTGCGCGCAACTCCCAATTGTTGTGCTATATGTTTTACTATTTTTTAATTTTCGTTTGTTATTGTAGCTTTTGTATTTATGTATATATTAAAGCTCGGCGGAAACCGACACGTGCCCGTTATATTAGATTTGCACCTCGCTTGTTGCTTCTTCACGCGCGGACGACGCGATTGCACTAACATATGTTCTGCAGTGTTGCCGTGTGCGCCATTTTAGATTTGATTTAATGGTAAACAGTAAGTAAACAGAGGTCACACTGACAATTAAATTAGAAAAAAAAGTAATTACGCAGCCTTGGCAACGCGAATTATCCATTGCACATTTTATTAGTCAATAAAACATATATTTGTACGTTAGTAAGGCTTATTAGCTTATTTATTTAATGTATTAGACAGGACTACCTCTATTATTAAAAAATACTAAAATGTGTAGAATTAGGGGTTCCAGCATTGCTATCGTTATCGACAAAATCGATTTATTACTGTGTATTCCACGTGCAGCTGGAGCCATAATTTAGTTTCGTATATTTCTGTTTGTTTTCAAAGTATTACAAAAAGCAAAGATGCCGGCCGTAAGGAAGCCCAAGCCCCTAAAGGTTCAGAAACAAGTAACGCCATCCAAGTCACCGGCACAAGTCAAAACCGTAATTTCTGGGCAGGTAAGTTACGTACTGAAATGAGAAGCCCCAAGTAACGGTGTCTAAACTCCATTTTTTCAGTTGAAAAAGAAACTGGGCAAGGCGAAACCAGCTCCAAAGGAACGCAAGGAGCGTGGCGTAGTATTCATCAAACATTTGCCACATGGTTTCTTTGAACAACAATTGCGTCAATATTTCAAACAATTTGGACATGTAACGCGGCTGCGACTCGCACGCTCCGAACGCACTGGCGGAAGCAAAGGATATGCTTTTGTCGAGTTCGAATATCCAGAGGTGGCCAAAGTGGCAGCCAATACCATGGACAACTATCTAATGTTTCAGAAAGTGGTCAAGGCAACGTATATACCACCAGAGAAGCAAAAGTTTAATTACTTCAAGAATACTGTGAAGAAAGTCACAAATAAGGTGAGCAAAGAGCATAGAAGAACAATAATATACCCTTAAAATATCCCATTTTCCAGGCTGGCAAAGAAATTTATGTTTCGGATGTGACCAAAGCTACACAGCGCAGTGTTAAGCAACAGAATGATTGGACTGAAGCCGCTTGCCAGAAACGCACTGTCGCAGGCATCAAGAAACTGAAGCAAATGGAAAAGAAGTGCAAGCATTTGGGTATTGATATATCCAATCTCATTTTGGAACCAGTCAAGAAATTAAAGGAGACAGAGCAATCGAAACCGTCAACGAGCAAAAACTCAAAGGATGAAAAAAAGGAGCCGGAGCTGGCTGACCTTTTGGGCAACACCATTACCGAGGACTCAGATGATGAAGACTATGTGGATGCAAGTGATGATGATAGCGAGCCTGGACTTAACAGCGCAGATGAAAGCGATGATTCTGAGGAAGAGGATTTGAAAGTGGTGAAGCCAAAAGCAGCACCCAAAAAGATGCAGAATAAAAACACAGGCGCTGAGCGCTTAGTCGAGCTAACCAAGCGCAAGCCGGGCACGGGCGGTGTGCAGAAGAAAAAGAAACCTGTCGCGGCGCCCAAAGCTGCCCAGAAGTCAGCTACAAAGACACTGCAGCTGGCCGCAGCCAAACAACTGGCCAAGCCATTGCAGAAGAAGATTGGCAAAAAGCTAAAGAAGTAGAATTGTAGTATATTTTACCATAATATTTAAGTAAAAAAAAAAAACATTTTGTATAAAGTAAACTAATTGTCGGCTTTCGTAGACCCGGACATCTCAAGTTTAATGCGTTTGCACTTCATGCGACGATTTTGAAACCAAACCTTAACCTGACGCTCGCTCAGCTCCAAGGCGACGGCAATCTCGTAACGTCGCAGCCGTGTCAGGTAATTGGAGTAGCGAAATTCCGCTTCCAGTTGCTTGAGTTGGGTTTTGGTGAAAGCCGTGCGTTCCTTACGTTGTGCACTACTGCTGCTGGCTGCTGTGGTATTTGGTTGCTCCATGGTCGTGGCTGAAGCTACGCTGGCTGCCAGTTGCAGAGCGTGGCAGCTATAAGCCGCGGCCGAGCCTCCAGTCCAGGATTTGTTGCTGTAATCCTCATAGCTGGCTGCATTGGTCGGCTCATAGTTGTAGCTGTAGTCAAAGTCCTCGTAGTCATTGACGTAAAAGGCGGCCAGATCTGTGCTGCAATTCTTCATCGTAGCTCCTGCTGATCGAACACTCTAATTAACACTGAAGCCTCGAGCACACGATGACGCCTCTTAAGTCAAGTTCTGTGCGCGAACTGCTCATTGGCCGGCGCTCTTCGCAGTCGATTGGCTCAATCTGTTTTTCCACTTAAATGTAAATGATGTGCTGCTGATATGATAATTGTGCGCAACATCTGGACACACACAGCCCCCACAGCCGCCGACTCGACCAGCCGTAACGTCGCGTGCTCTACTCTGCTGTGCTCAGCTTGGCTTTGCCTTTGAACACTTGTGACACCCACAAACTATGTTGTTGTTTTCTTAAGACTCGGATGGCAAAACAAAACAAAAACAAAAGACCCAGCTAAAACCGGAAGTAGCTACTGCTCGCATGTGTGTGTGGCTACTAGGTCTAGCAGCAAACATGAGTCAAGTGCTTTGTACGACTGAAAGAACTCTAAACATTTTTTAATATCGCTCATAAAAGTACGCATAGAAAGATGAAGGAGATGATTGTCAATTGCACGCACTTTTTACTTTTTGCGCATCATTTCCCTTGGCTACGGTGCGGATATCCACATCCCCATCTTTGTTCCCTGATAATGATCGGCACTCTTTACTTGTTTATCTTCAAATTAATTTCAATATTACAGCTCATATGAATTAAAGAAAAAAAAAAACAGCATATTTATAAACTATGTTTTTAGAGTTTAAATTGGCAAAAGACCCGCCAATCTAGACCACATCTGGCAACGCCATTAAAGAAATTATCTGCGTTTATTTTCTTTCCCTTTTTAAAAATAATCATACCTTTTTTTTTTTGTTTGTTCATTACTTGAGTTTCAGCTTATTGATTAATATTCCTGCTTTTCATATCTAGCTCTTCAACTAATTTAAAAGATTTGAGCAGCTCTTAAATTTAGTGGCGCTACCGTACGATACTGGTCATGTAAAAATCGAATAATACTGTAATCGATACCCGCTCGCATACCTAGGTGAATAAATGAAGGCGGCTATTAAACATCGATAGACTGAAACAACAACAGAAAGGCGTCCGTGGTGTTCGGTTCGCGAGTCGCGCATCTGCATCAACTTTATTTGAATATAAATTAATTAAATTAATTCGATACAAGATATAGCTTATGTTAAAAGCATAGCAGTATATAAACACCGCGCCGCAATGATTAATTGAAATACTAGCCGCTACAGTGGCAGCCGTGCAGCAGCGACTGCGGCAAAGTGTCGAAAGTGGAGAGAGAAAAAGTCTAAAAAAAAAAAAAAAAAACACCGAAAATCTTTAACAAGTTTTTGTGTTTGTAGATGCGCGAGTGCTGAAAATTGCGTTTAAAGAAAGCTGCGCTATTGCCTGAGTAGCAATTGAGTTGCAAAATATGATCAACAAAATACGAGCAGTCAATTTTGAAGTTGTACTTGTGTTGTGAGTGTGAGTGTGTGTGTGCCTGTGTCTGCGTTTGCGTGCGTGCATTTGTGTGCGTTTGTGCCTGCGTGTAAGTGAAATAAAAGCAATTGTAAATGAGTGCGCAAAGAAGTTGTGAAGTGGCGGCAGCGACAGCCAAGCCCAAAACTTCAGTGAAGCATTGCGAGAGGGAAGAACGCCACAAATATTAAAACAAAGTGCAAATGACGACAGCGTCAAACACGTTGGCAAATTAAATACGACTAAAACCGAAAACAAGAAAAGAAACGAAAAACATAAATACCGAAGCGAACAACGGTTTGCAGTTCCAGGTGGTCAGCAAAGAGCAGCAGCAACACACTCACAGACACACACACCCGCACAGGGAGCGGCAACAACAGCAGCAGTGGGCGACAACGTCAACGTCAACGTCGCGCAATGACCGAGGAATTGAAAGTGGTGCTGCGTCGCAGTCGCAGTGAGCAGCATTCCGGTTTCGGGTTTTCACTGCTCGGCACAACTGGACCGCCGCATGTCATCTACGACATTGTTGAGAATTCGCCGGCCGCCGACTGCGGTGCGGTAAGTAATAGTCACACATACACATGCATGCGTAGATGCAGACATGCATATACATATGTGTATACACACTCCTTACACTCTCTCTCGCTTTTTGTTTGCTCAAATATTGCACTCTGACTCCATCAACCGCAAACTGTTATCCTACTTTTGACGTTGCCGTATTCCCATTAGGGACTGTCCTATGACTTCATCAACCACCGGGGCGCAGCGCAACAGACCCAAGTGGTGGATATATGTTGCACCACCCTCTTTTTTATGTCGCATATGCCGCTGTAGATAAGCGCATTTCTTACGTTTGAAGATTTCGTAAGTGTGTGTGTTAGTGTGTATGAAAAGCACTCAATTTAGCAGCCTGAGCACTGGCAAGAGTCGCGAAACGCGACCTCGACGCAGTCATCGGTGTTGCCCATCTTCAATGACGCCCACTGTGATGTCATCGTGTCACTTGCTCTTTTATTGGGAGAACTGCCACAGGCGCACACAGTCATACACACATACATTCACACATATACGAAGTCACTCACACTAAGAAGTAACACTATGTATCAATTTTCATTAGAGGTTTCGCTTCTATTTACTTTTGTTATTGAAATTCCCATGAAATACTTTGCTCATTTCGATTTCAATTTAATAAAAACTAAAACGAAATGAAGAAATACAAACATACAAAGAAATGTATGTATTGCTTGTATCTGTGCATTGGCACTAAAATCAAATGCGGGAATTGGCAATTCATTTTGCTATATCTATAGAAATTTTTGTTTTTATTTTCATTTCAATGTATCTAAAAGGCAATAAATCATTAGTACTGTAGAATCGTGACGCAAAAGATGTATTGGAAATTTATTTTTAAACAGTTAGTTGGCATCCAAGTTCCTTTTAAGTATCTTAGCATAATGATAAGAAATCTTCAAATAGCTAAGAGGCTAGCTAACATTGCCTTGTGTCTTTTAATTATTTAATGTTATCTTTAAAAGAATCTCTTATCGTTTACCTTTCATATCTGAGATATAATTAGTTTGAGCTTTACTCCTTTATTCGAATACACCCACATATGTATGTAAGTACACATATGTATGTATGCACACAATCACATATGTATGTATATACATAAGTATATGTACATATATAAATATGTGACAATCCCTCAAGAATAATTTTCAACAGAAATGTTAGAAATGACAAATCCATCGGAAATGGGAAATGGTACACCGGGAGTTGCATTAGACGGAATCAAACGTGCTGAACATATTTAATGCGTAAAGTTCATTGAAAACAATATGCATTTTCAACTCGATTCAAAAGAAGTGCAAACTAATCAAACAATCACAACAACTACAACAAAAACAACGGTAAGAGCAATAAAGCGCAGCTATAAACAGCAAAGCAAAGCAAAGACAATATTATAAATACAAGTCGCGCTCACACATACGCAGAGGCAGAAGACACAGACAGAGACACTTACTCACACACACTCAAACTCGTGAATAATTATCAGGCACAGCAAATGTAAAGAAAATTAAAATAAAAAAACAAACAAGCAACAAAATGTTTGTGTACGTTTATTATTATTGCTTTCGAGTGCGGCTTTTGGCTTTTTTTATTTTTTAGAAATAAATTTATTCGCACGACTCCCCGTTTCGAACGACAACAAGAGAGAAAAGTGTGAAAGCCAGAAGAGCTAAGAAACACAAACACAAAGAGTCGACTGCAAAAACGTGTTTGGAATTTTAAATTTAAATATTAAGTAATTTGAAAAATACAAGAAAAAACAATCAGATGTATGTATGTATGTATATACATATAAAAAAAGTTGTCAGCCAGTCACAACAGAAACAACAATAACATTCGCTGCCGCAACGTGGCGCAGACGTCAACAGAGCAAGCAACTCGTCAACATCGCCGCCGGCGTTGTAATCGCACTCACACTTACGCTTACACACACACACTAACGCACACCGGCACGCACTTTTTCAATTTGTTATTATCGCTTTCGCTTACAACTTGTTGTTCCTTTCAGAGGGGGATGATAGTTTTGTCGCGCTATCTCTTGCGATGTTTACGTTTGTTTGTCTTTTGCTGTGACTGTTGTTCTGCTGCACAATAATTTTTCAATGAGCTGTGAATCTCAGACAATTCACACACCATGCTTGTTATATCTATGCATGTGTGTGTGTGTCTGTGTATATATAAATATGTACGAGTGCAAGCGCATATAATGCATGTATAAATATGTATCTACTGTTTGCTGTTGTCTCCGGGCATTAGTGCTGGACCGTGACTTTAGCGATAGTTTATCAATAAGCAAATTGCACGCTAATTAGTAAGTGCTGCCATATGCAAGATTATTTAAATAAGGATGTATAAAATTATGTCATACCAAAAATTTAAAATAATTATTAAAATTTAAATATATGTATTTATATACAGAAACATGTTTTAACTATTTATACACAACTATTGGTTTAAAGTATGAAGATCAAGAGTATACCCTTGCCTGCTGAAAGTTTCCCCTTCATGTCTGTTGCATTGTGTTCACTCTCTGTTTTGACTCTACTTCGTTTTGTTGTTAACTGGCAGTTCCAATGCGCATTCTTTGCAGGTGGCTGTGTGTGTGTGCGTGCATGTGTGAGCTTGCTTTGTTTTGTTCGTCCACAATTTGATACAAATGAGAAATTTATATTAATTGTATGGATAACAAAAGAACAGTTAATTTGTTGAACATATCATATGTTGTTTTCCACCTAAGCCTTTCATTTTCTATAAACAATCGCACCCGAACGTCCACAAATGTGAACTAGTGCGTCTGTGTGTATTTATTAGTTTCATCATAACATCGAAAGAAGTTTAAATGTGCACATACACAATGTCATTAATCAAATTCCTGGATATTCCTCATTTTGGATGATTTTTTTTTCCCGTTCCTAACTAAATTGCTTTTTAATTTCTACTCTTCGAAGCTAAGACGAGTTTTCAGAATGAGAACAGTCCCCATTTAAATTACATGTCTCTGGAAATATGTGTGTGAGTGTGTTTGCTCTAAACTGGTCCAAAGACCACATTAACAGCTTCAATCACCAACATTTCACGCTGGACGCATCCATTCGGGGCTGCCATATACATATGTATGTACATATGGTTTGTATATTGTGGGCACAATCTTTGCCTCGCCCAGTTCCTTGCCAGCCCCTTTTCACGAGCGAGTCTGAGCTCTGCCGGCTGTTGCAAAATTCTAACGCTAAGCCTAATTAGACTTTAACTGGAAGTGACTAACGACTTTTGTTATTGTGCTGCCTGAAAACAAATTAATTGTCGCCGACAGACGGCCAAACAAAAGGAACAAAAGAGAACAAAAACTACAAGGCTATATTGATTTTTTCTTGTTGTCTAAGTGCAAGTTTTACACACGAAACACAGACAAACACACACACACACACACATCAATTCAAACGTGCCTTTGTATTAGATGCAATGGGTCGTCTGCCGATCCAATATATTATATACATATGTATGTACTTGTATGTATGTGTCGATGTCTTCACACACTTCGAAAATTGTCTTCGAGAGAACATCAAGCTTGCTACAGCAACAAATTTCAAGCTCTAGAAAACATAAAACTGTCATTTGTGGGTTCAATGTGCGTAGCACACGACTCGATGGGCAGGTCACGATACGGTACGAGCTAACTACAATAGAACTAACTTGCACGCGACACTTTGCCATTTCGATAAATGTCAACGTTCCGCGTTTGACCAGCGAAAGAGAGCTTATGCGCTGTCCCGCTCTCTTTGCCCTTACTGGAAGTCAAAAGTGCACACACTATAAAGTCAATTCGCTTTAATTAAATTACAAAAGCTGAAAGAAAAAACAAATGAAAAATGCCCGCGCGTTTATTAAGTTAGTTTTTAATGACGGCTCAAGGGGTGAAGCGGGCTGAGGTAAGGCAAGGTAAGGTGAGGTGTGGTGAGGTGTGGTGTGGTGAGATGAGCTGAGCTGAGCTGAGCTGAGTTGTGCTTTGCTGTGTTGTGCGCTGAGTGGGGGGTGGCCTTAAAAGAGGTTGGCGGCGGCGTTGAGCGCGCGCTGCGGTTCGTTGCACGACACGCCAGAGCGAACATCGCAACAACAGCAACAAGCATTTACGAAATAATAAGTTAGAACAATGAGTGCATAAGGCACTCGGCATGCAAAAAGCAGCCGAAGAAAGCGCAGTCTGCAGTAAACTTTGCGCTAAATCTAAGCATTATATTAAAAAAGAGTGTTTGTTTGTGAGCGCCCAGGCGTCACAAAAGACGCTTTCAAACACTGCAACAAAAGCAACATTATAGTTAGCTATTAATGTGTGTGTGTGTATATTCATATGATGCACGTAATGTGCACACATGAGTATAAATGGCTGCACTTTGTCTGGCGGTGTTGCCACTTGGCTGCTGTCTGTGGGCTGCAAATTGAGTGGCAGCACTTGTAGTTGTCATCCGTCTCGAGTTCTTTTAGCAAGTGTTTGTGTGTGCAAGTGTGAGCGTCTGTTTGTGTGTATGTTTTTGTTTTTCTTTGTTTGCATTCCCTTTGCCGCTTTTCGAATGCTCAATTAGACGCCAAGTTGCCGACGAGCCGGCCGGCTACCTGATTGGCTTGGCGTAGTCGCCTGGATGATTCCCCCATCTCTAATGCCCTGGTTAGCTATTTCGGCATATATTTTTATAAAGCAGTCGCGAAAGCGAATGCGAGCGCAAATCAATAACAACAAAATGAGCACCGAAAATAAACTTGTTTTTCTTCGATTTGCGAAAAAAAAAACTTTTCTGGGTGGTTTGCTCGTGTTTTCGTAGTTTTCGTTTTGCGCAAATGCAAATACAGGTCAGATTGCTAGGCGTTTGGGTAGAGGAGGCTACAATTCGTGCTACTTCCCCCTTGCTTAGGCTGGTATTTCTTTTTTATATGTTTTGTTGCGTTTCCCCATAGCCTGGGCTGGTATTTTTGTAAAAAGTTTTTTTTTTTTTTTTTTTTTTTTTTGCGTTTCACACTAAACTAGGTAAAAAGTTAAGCAGCTGTGAAATTGTCGTAAAAATTGAAATCCAAGTCTAAATACTTTGGCTACGTACAGTTAGAAGTTTCGCAAAAAAACTTGTTCTAGAGAATAGCGATACGGTTTATTTGAATTACGGATTACGGTAAAAGGCATTTAATGGCTTTAAGTATGCATATTTACATATTTACCAGGTTTATTCGAGCGCAAAGCGCGTAAATAACTTAATTCGAGTGCCCGTAAACAGATGTTTGTGTGAAAAAGAAATGTAAACATAAAACAGCGTCAGAATTAACATCATGTCAAACGGGGGGTCGACCGACACTCAAATTGACATAATTAAGCGCGACGAAAGCGATGCCATATCTCCATTTGTGACTTCCGCCCTTTAGGCGATTACACAACACCTACACACCTATACACCTACACACGTACACACCTAGCTAGTAGCTACCTAGAAACGGTAAATGTGTTTTAGTGATTATTTGTTTACTTTTTGCCTGATTTATGTATATGTACGATTTGGGAAAGGGAAGCGAAGCACACAATGGACAGTTCAGATTGCTGGCAAGGTCGTTCGAAATCCACACACACACTCACACACAGACATCTGATCCGAGCTGAATACATTTTGAATGAGTGCAAATAAATGAGTGCGCGAATTAGGGATACGCTCAAGCAAAATCAAATTATGCAGTCTATTCAAATGAGACGTCAAAGCAGACCAGCAAACTGACGGCTGTGCCTGACAAGCTTGATGATAAATGACAGACAGACATCGCTGTGACTCCGCTGCACTGGTCATTCTATTCACAATGGTTCACGCTATGAGCACAAGTGAAATAGAAAGGCGACGTGTGGCATTACAACAAATACAATGAAAACTAAGAAATCACGTTTAAACAGAATGGCAGAGCTATTAGTAGAATAACAGTTTCAAGTTGTTTGAACCGCCAACAAGCTATTCGGCCCACAGCCCACTTAATCGCAGCGTTGCCCTATTTTGTATTTGCTTACCTTGTTAGAAACGTATGTGTGTTCGTTACTGCCGCAGGTAGCAGCTGGTCTGACCCCTGGATAAAAAAAAATTACAACTGACAAGTTGTTGAACGCCTATGCAAAGCCTTCTTTGCTATTACATATAGCAAACATCGATTTTCTATAAATTGTATGTATATTTGAAATAACTTGCGAAGTGTAACAGAGTAATGGTAGAGTAAGACATAGTAAACTAAATAAAGTTTATAAATATATAATTTTAATGTCTTTTAATAATGGTTTCACAAGTTAGTTGCAAGTTAGTTATTTTCATTTTCCTACATCTTGAACTTAGGTGTTCATAACTCGTGAAACGATATGAAACACGACAAAGGCTCAGCTCTAGATTACAGCCACTGCTGGCGGTGCCAATGCCTTCGCATAACGGTGATGGCAATGCTTATGCCGCATCGCTTCGTACTTGACTGGGTCAACGCCATGTCGTCGACGTCGTCATCGATGGCATTGCGCTGACACTAATACAATCAATGCATTGGCTTGTTTACCTGCCTCTTGACAACCAACCAACCAGCCAGCTAGCCAACCAGCCTGCTGGCCTGATTGTGATTGGGTGGGCGTGTTGTTGTTGCTATTGTTAATTGATATTGCTGGCAGAATAAACTGATTTGCAGTCAACAAAAAAAGTCATTGAAAATATGAGTTCAAGTAAAGACAACTACCGTAAAACAAAGCAATCGAAATAAATAACAATATTTCCATTGAGAATGACACTAATTGGGGAGTTTAGTGTTTATTTGGCAGTAGATAAGTGAAACCTGACCAAAATAATGAAGCCGATACGAGGCGCCATAATTCTAGACGCTATCAGTGTTTACTTTGAATACATTTGATTTAAAAGCGTTTGTTTTGCAACCTTTGAGTACTATAAGTACCAGCACAATTATGAAGAACTAGTTAATTAATGTTTTATTGATTGCGATCAGTGCTTAAATAGGCAATTAAGCTCATTTGCTAATAGTCTGGCAACTCTGACTATTGTGACTGCATATGAATTTTCGTTTGCGAGAGCATCACTTGCATGCGCTCACGACTCGCCGCTCTTAATCCCATTCGATTGCAACAACAACAACAAGTAGGTATTAACTTTGAGATTACACGAAGAAGGCATCAGATGAAAACGTGACAAAGCGCAGGGCTGAAATGATGAAGACGCTGAAGCATCGTGAAGGCAAATCAATTTGCAAGCAAATTTTACGGAATGCATACATATCGGCCGCGTTTACATGTGTATAAGATAGCGAAGTTCTGTTGTGTGTGTGTGTGTTGGCAATTTACAAAGCGAACATTTAACTGCATTCCAATTAGACACTAATTCAAAAATGATGCTGTAAGCCTTTAATGAGCTTTTCACTGCGACGCAGACTAGGGCTTATCAGTTTTATGCAAATGTGTGTGTTCGTATGTATGTAAGGGACTACTCAATATTAAATTTGCATTAGGTGTGTGGGCCATTAATTTATGTTTTTCTTTGAAGGGGTTTTGCTTATATCCCAAATATTACGTAATTGCTCATACGTACACAATCTCATTCATACATACCTAGATCTATTTGCCGCTTATCAAGCGACTTCAAATTAAATTTGTATCGAAATTTGAAAGGCGTTGAATTTTACAGAGGCCCGTTACATTTTCTCTCTTCGTTGCATCTCTTTGCCGAGCGTTCTCTTTCATTCTCATTTTTCTCTTTTTGCTATGCATGCCAGATGAAGGCAAGAGCTTCGTGCAACTCTGTGCTCATCTGACGTCTATTGTGAACAAAGCGTGCACATACCGCATAAATTAGTGCAATTTTTTGGTTTACTTACGGTCATCTCTGCGAGCTGGTGCCAATAAACACATAAACAAGCAAAAGCTGCGACAGTGTCACTCCTAAAACGCACATTTCTCAATTATAGTGTCGACTAGAAGTAACGTCCTTTTCGCGCCATTAATTATGCAATAAATGCAATTTCACTTCGCTTGCATTTTGCATGTGCAGTGCTCTAATTTTGTTTGCTCTGCTTTGGCTTGGAAGGGGCTTTCACATGGAGCGGCATGCCTGAAAAATGTATTGACTAAACTATATGCCTTGGATTGGCCAGAGAAGTGCGTACCCCTCCATGGAGAGCTCATCAAACAACAATATATTTTTGACGTCAGCGCGAAAAGGCGGACAAGGCGCCAATGCCATTTCGCTTGTTTTTTATTTGAGTAGTGTTTTTGTTGTTGTTATCGTTGTTGACACGCGGATGCGAATAGGAATTAAAAATAGTTTACAAGTGCCGACAAGTTGGACTGACGGAGCATGTTTATCCGCGTGGTTCCATTGCTTTGGCGCAAAGAAAATAAAACACAAATAAATTATACTGAAGGAAAATCAATATTCATTTTAGTGTCCTATTTCGTTTCGATTCTAATCAGGAAATGTCAAAAATAATAGTAAAATTTTTGTGAACGTTTAATAAGTTGAATATTTTTCTATTTTTACAGGTCGAAGCGGGCGACGTTATATTGAAAGTCAATGGCATCGATGTACATCGGCACACCACGAAGGAAGGCAAGTGCTGTGTGTCTAAGCCTAATCAATTTTCCTAATTTTCGAATTAATTACAGTGCTCAAGTGCTTACGCCTATCGGAGAACTTAGTAACCTTGGAGCTTAAACGAGGTAAGTGACATTCATATAAACAGTGCAGAATTTCGGTTATTTATGCTTACATTTTCTTTTTACAGATCCCAAGCTGAAAGCACGCATTAAAGAGCAGTTGGCCAATACGCAGAGTCCGCATTACGTGGACATTGAATCTCCCATCAATATTTATGATTATAGCAGCAGTCCAAACGCCGCTTCGCCCAAGAATCAGCGCCAGAATCAGAATCAGTATCAGAAGGGGACAACCACGCCCACAAATGCTAGTTCGCCGGCGCTGCGGTACAAGTCGCCCACGCATTTGCCATCGCTGCGCCAGAATTCTCCAACAGCAACAGCGATAACATCAATTGCTGCAGCATCCACAACTACCACAATACATACGCACAGCCGCAACTCTTCCGCCAGCTCGACCAAGATACAAATGGTAGAATCCACAACGATTACAACGAGCATTAGCAACAGCAATATTGCAACATCACCCACGGCAGCAGGGAGCGGTGCCACCTCGCCGACTTTTCGACCGTCACGCATTCCACAGGCCCTGAAAAGCGTCGCCTCCAAACCAGTGCCACAAGTGCAGTCGCCGCAGCACAAGCGACCACGCCCCTCTCAAATACCAACGAAGGCAGCTAACGGCAACGGCAACGGTCTTCAGCCACTGCAGCACTCGAACAGCTACAGCGGCAGTCCAGCCGTCACCCGGCAGCGCCACGGGGAACGCGAGTCTGAGCCGGAACCCAATTCGGCTCCGCCGCAGCCGGCTAAGGCGCCGCGTTTTGAGGCTTATATGATGACAGGTGATCTAATATTGAATCTATCAAGAACACCCCAATCAAGTAATTTAATAACGACGCAAGCCAAGAAGGTAATGTCCGCAAATAGTTCAGGGCTGCTCATATTCTGTTATTAATTTTAATCACTTCAATTACAGGTGGACAGTCTGCGAGACTTCCCGAAGCGCAATGTGGTTAATGCACGTGCCAATGGCGCCTTAGCACCGCGGGCATCTGGCGAATCTTCGCCCACATCTTCGTCGTCAGTGGACTCGCCAACCAATACGGCCAGCTCGGATTCCATGAAACGTGAGGCTAAGCTGCAGCGTGGTCAGCAGCAACAACACCAGCAACAACAACAAGAACAACAACAACAGCAGCAACGCGATAGCATCAATAACAGCTATAATCGTCGGGATTCGCTGACCAACGATACGTTGCTAATGTGTGAGGAGCTGGAGCGTGATGATGATGCCACCACAGACTACGGTGACAATAAGCGCCAGCAGCAACGTCAGCAGCAGCAACAACAGCAGCGCTATCGACAGCAGCAGCAGCAACAACAACAGCAACAGCAACAACAGCGCTATGAGTACTACCAAAACGAAGATGAACTGGAGGCGGATCAGGAGGAACGCGAAGAGGATCAAACCCATTATGACATCACAAATATCGAAACGTATCAAAGTGGTTTAGGTCGTGGTGACGAGGATGATAGCGATCGTCAATGTCTGGTTGACGACGATGATGATGATTACGATGAAGAGGACAATGATGCCGGCGATGAGGAATACTCCACAAATTCACTGGGCTCGGGCACCGGCTCAACCAAGCAACGCATGCGGGCACTCAAGCAGCGCAGTGTGATGCGGCAACAGCAGCAGATGCAGCGTAATCGAGATGCTGTTGATTGTGCTGCACGTGTAACGGCTGGTCACTCTGCCTCCACATCCAACTCGTCTGGGACGGTTAAAAGTGAGGCTGTTCTAGGCCTTGGCCAGGACGAGACTTCCTTCTCGGTACCAACTTCGCCAATTTCGCTGTCGGCTCCATTGATTGATAAGGAGACGGCCAGCTCAGTGCCCACCAGTCCGGAGCCCAGCTCTCTGGCGGCCGAGTCGAGCAACAACGGCGCTGGCGTTGTGGTGCGCCGCCACAATGGACATGTGGTGCGTAAGTGTGATGCTGCAGGTTTTCGCACCAGCAAATCTGAGGATCATCTGCAGCAGGTACAGCGCGAAGGCATTGCGGCTGTGATACCCATTGATATCGACGAGGATGTGAATAGCTCGCTGAATACGTTGCTGGATACGCGCCACGATTCGGAGGATTCGCAGGTGAGCGTTGGACAATAGAGCGGCTTAGCTAGCCAAAGCCCCAGAATAGCTGTAAATAAATCTACAGAGGCCTTCATACGCAGGCATATATCCAGCCGAAATGCCAACATGTAAACACAGATATAGCTGTGTATTTTCAGATCCAGAACACGCACAGTGTCACAATGCCTAAAGTAGATTGTCATTGTTGAAGTGATTTGTGTAGTGTTAAACTAGTTCTGGTTGTTGTCTTTTGATATAAGTACGATTATAACGGTGTAATCACGTAGAACCTTTCAAATCCTTTATCATATGTGTAGTATATATCATTCGCTGTATCTTTGTGAACCCATCATACATCAAGTTTCCACTTTACTTACTCGTTACTCGTTACTTGTTACACTTTACTCGTTACTTTCTACTCGTTACTATTTAATTTCCTACTATACGACGATTAACAATTACTTCTATCTTGTCTATCTTACTCTTACTCTTACTTGTGTTTCTTCTTTCTTTCCTTCCTTTCGTTTTCTCTGTTGATTCGCATTTTACCTGAACTTTTTCTATATATCGCAAATTTTTTAAAAATCAAACAAATAAACCTAGTCGACAACCACAACTGAATCAACGATTAAGTACAACTCGTCGGCGCTGAACAACAATGAGACCGAGCCGAGCAACAACAATAACAATAACAACGAGTGCAAAGAATTGTCGCCAGCAACAACACCAGCGAAAGCAACAACAACAATGGCAACAACAAAAGCGACAGCAGCAACAAGAGCAACAACCACTACAACAGGCAGCGGCTGCAGCAACAAATTAAACTATATTTTACGCAAAAAGGTTGCCATTTGTTAAGCATGGCATGCACAAGAATAATTCATAATTAATGTGATTTGCTGTGTTTATCGTTTGCGAATATTTTCTGTTTTGTTGCCTGCCTGTTGTGCTAAACGTTTGTATGTAGACAGCAAGTAGTCCTAACTAAAGCTTACCGACACACAGATACTCTGAAAACACAAATCGACACACACACAAACGGCTACACTTGGCAATTATTTAGGGCTCTCCCTCTCTCAGATTGGGCAACGGCAAATGGAAATTGAGCAACAACTAAAAAATCAACAATAATTTTAAGACAAATATACGATATACTCTTTATATGCATACTTTGACGCGTATCAATTGAAATTTTACTAATTTATGTTTATTCAATGCAGGCATCGAATCGCGATCGTATCGTGTGGACTTACAATGCGCCACTGCAGCCGCATCAGTTGCAGCAGCTGCAGCAGCAGCAGCAGCAACAGCAACAACAGCAGCAGCAACAACAACAACAACAACAGCAGCAGCAGCAATACTACGGTCAGCAATCGAATTCAAATTCCCATTCAAGTTCCATTAGCTCATCGCCACAGAATTCGGCAGCCGGCAGTCCGGCCTCGCCGACGTCGGTGTCCTCGTCCGTTATGTCGTCTTCAGGCTCAAAGAGCGCACAGCAACAGCAATTGCAACAACAGCAACAGCAGCGCGATCAGTCACCGGTTGCCATGCCGGGTCTGTTGGGCTGCCCCAATGGTGGTGCTGCTAATGGTGCTAATGGTGGTGGTGGTGGTGGTGGTTTTGGCAACGATCAGAGCGTCTCAGAGGCCATTTCAAATATCTCTAGTCCAGACTATCAAGACGACGATAATTTATTAAGTTCTCGCGATATTTTAGGCGGCATGGTACTTAGCGATCCCAGCGATTCGGACTCCACCATTCTTGTCTCCGATGCGGCGGCCCAGCAACGCCAACAACAGCAGCAGTTGAAGCAGCAGCTGCGCGCCCAGCAACAGCAGCGGGAACGTGAACGCGAACGCGATCGTGATCCGTCCGAGCACAAGCTGGTCATACAGGTGCGTGGCATGGATAACAGCAACAACATCACCAGCAACGCAAATCGATCCGACGAGGATGGTAATACGCAAACGGAGGAGCCGTCCTCAACGGTTGGGGGACGCGATGGCTCGCCGCCTGTTTCGGATGATGGCAGTGATGTGGAGTCGCTGCACTCATATCACTACTCGCCGAAGGCCGTGGATATGCCCTCGGCCATACGCCTGGCCAAAAGACTGTACTCTCTCGACGGTTTCAAGAAGAGCGACGTATCGCGGCATCTCAGCAAAAAGTTTGTTCATCATTCTATTATTATTTATGACGAGAACTAAATTTGTTTTATATTTTCAGCAATGACTTTAGCCGCGCTGTGGCCGACGAGTATTTGAAGCATTTTAATTTTGAAAAGAAATCTCTGGATCTGGCGCTGCGCGAATTTCTACAGCAATTCTCACTATCCGGCGAGACGCAGGAGCGTGAACGTGTGCTGGTACATTTCTCAAAGCGTTTCCTGGACTGCAATCCCGGCACCTTCAACTCTCAGGATGCTGTACACACGCTAACATGCGCCATTATGCTGCTGAACACGGATCTGCATGGCCAGAATATCAGTCGCAAAATGAGCTGTGCTGAATTTGTGGACAATTTGGCCGATCTCAATGATGGCGAGAACTTTCCTAAGGATGTGCTAAAATATCTATATCACGCCATCAAAACGAAGCCGCTGGAATGGGCGCTGTGAGAACTTTGATAAATCAACTCTCATATGATTCGCATTTAACCGCTGATCTGTTTCTTTTTTTTTAGGGACGATGAGACGGGCGATCAACAGCAACAGCAGCGGGCAACCAACAATAGCGGGCTGATGGGAGTCAGCCAGAACCCGTTCCTAGATGCACCCGAATCGGCTACGGCAGTGGAATACAAAAAGGGCTATGTGATGCGCAAATGCTGTTATGATACCAGCTTTAAGAAAAGTAAGTAAACTACTGTTAAGTCTTTAGATTTACCGTTTACGTTTTATATTTTTCTCAATCAGCTCCGTTTGGCAAACGCTCGTGGAAAATGTTTTTCATAACGTTGCGCGATCTTGTTTTATATCTGCACAAGGACGAACACGGCTTTCGAAAGAGTCAAGTAAGTGCAGGGCAGTTGCTGGCATTAGATCAATAAATTTGACCAACACTTTGCTATAATTCCAACAGATGTCCGACAATCTGCATAATGCTATACGCATACATCACGCACTGGCCACTATGGCCAACGATTACACTAAGAAGCAACATGTGTTCCGGCTGCAAACAGCCGATCAAGCCGAGTATCTGTTCCAGACAAGCGACTCGAAGGAACTGCACTCCTGGGTGGAGACCATTAACTATGTGTGCGCAGCATTTTCGGCGCCGCCTCTAGAGGGTGGTGTGGGCAGTCAAAAACGTTTTCAGCGTCCGCTGTTGCCCAGCGCACAAACTAAACTGTCAATGGTGAGTGCCACATTTAAATTGATAGCATTACTTATATAGTTTTGTGATAATAAAAAAATTGCAGAAGGAACAGCTTGAGTCGCATGAGCTGCAGGTGACCCAGTTAAAGCACGAACTGAAGGAGCATCAAAAGACGCCCGTGCCCAGCAAAGGCTTGCCACTGCAGAACTTCAAGGAGAAGGAGGCCTACTTACAATATGAGGTGCGTGCGGGTGGACAAGAGTCTGTTACGCTTGTTAACCAATTTGTTCATTCCCTAGCTACGTCGCTACGAGGCTTATGTAAGCATTTTAAACGCCAAGATGTTGGCCGAACAGCAGCCAATGGAGTTGCATTGTCAGCTGACAACACAGCCAACGCTCGAGGAGGATGCCGAGACATTCCCCATGGGCTCGGTCAACATGCCCACAACGCCGCAAAGTATTAATACTCAACAGCAGTCGCCTCAGTCACAGCAGCAGCAGCAGCAGCCGCAGCAGTCGACCAACAGCAGGTACGGTCAACAACAGCGAGCCAGGAACTCCTCAACTAGCGGCAATGCCCAGCAGGACATTGGCTGACGCGTAATGGGAGTTTTCTCAGCTTGTGTGGTTTAAGTTATTTTTCTCGTTAAATGCGTGTTGTTCAGTTTATTTGTGTTCGTTTCAACCCCCGGCTTGTGTTGCTTTTGTTAATTGTTGTTTTTGTCAGCTAGTCGTCTTCCCTAAAAAACATTTATGTAAATACAAACCGTGTCGTGTTTAAATGTTTATGTTGCGCTTCGCATTAATATATATTCCAGGAGTACATCTCCCTCAATACTATAATTTTTAGACCATGCAGAAAGCTTTAATGTCAAAATATTCTCAACTTAAAAGCCTAACAATAATTAAATAATTCAGAATTAAGAGTTGCGCGTTAGCAATTAAAACTTCAAGGCGAGTCATAATATAATTAGTTAATATAAACAATTTTTTTGTTTTTTGGTTGGCTTTTTTAAACCCCACGCAAATTACTGTGAAAACTCTTAAGTAACAAATATTAGAATTGTAAGAAGGCAAAGATTCGCTTAGTTTAAATGATAACGATAAACAGAAATGAATTTTACTAGCACATGTAGCAAACAACAATTTTTGGCGTTCAACGAAAAAATTAGATGAGACAACAATTTAGAAAATTAAAGAAAAAACACAAATGTGGTTCAAATGTAGTAATGTTTACTGTTTATACCTTGCCTAAATGCATTCTAAATATACATTAAAGTAGTAAAGTCGTTTATAAAGCGAAAACATTTTAATATATACCTATATATACACACATATAAATAGTTATAGTATGACAAGTTATATGATTAGAGCTCTTTGAGTCTTATGCGCACACACCTACACAAATATTGAATGTTTCTGTTTGATAATCAAAGTAATTGTGGTCTAGTTGTTACAAAACAAAATTAATACACACACAGTCACAGACACCTCACGCTCACACGCATACTGATGTAAACTATATATAAGAATCATGCTAACCATGTGGACAACTCATATGCAAATGCTACTTATTTACAGCATTCTCCGTATTATGTTGCGTTATGTTTCAAATCAAGCTAGCAAAATGGCAAAAACCAAAAAGAAAAATTCTTGAATTTTTACAGATGGTTCGACGATGGCGCCTGCTGTTGTCTGGCGCCCTGGCTGCAATTGTTCTCCTATTTCAAAAGTCACTAAAAATGCAATTTTTAACACACTTTTCGCTTAGCGATGACACAAAAGCAACAAAGACAACAGCTACAACAACAACAACAACAATCACAAGCATCAATTGCACATTGGAGTCAAGCTACAAGAACAGCAAGAACAACTTTAGGAACAAACAACAAGCAAAAGCAATATTCAATAGATATTCAGACCTAAAAATGTCTTGCCCCAAATGTGAGCAAATGAGTCAAATGCAAAATTTTTATGTTCAACTTTATTGTCAACTGTCAATTTTAATAGCTTGGCTGTGTATATATATTTATGTTTTATATAATCAGAATATATATTCTATTATTATCGTTTTTACTATATGCATATTTTGTTATTTAATTTGAGGCACTTGTATAATTTGTATTAATATTGTATTTGATTTCACTTGCAGAAAAGAGAAGAAAAAGAAATAATTACGCATTTTCGTTTCGCTATTGATTTTCATCATTTCAACCACACACTAAAACCATTTGGCAATTGGTAAGTGCCAGCAATATTAACAAAAGCAAACCAAATTTATATAATCAGAATTTTACAACGATATGCGTTTTTCTCTGTTTAATGCAGCCCATGTCTATGATCAAATACTCCAACTGCCACACACACTCTCACACACTGAACACTCAACACTCAAATCGCTTACCAATACATCACTCACATGGAGGGGCACTAGACGATGCTGATGAGCAAGGGATTAGGGGGAGAACGGGAATTAGAGACTAATTAAAGGAAAAGAAGATCACACACATTGCGGCTGTGCCGAGCGGTCGTGTGACGCCCAACAGTCTGCCAACAATTCAGAATTTATGTACATCTCTTAAGCTACATAAAATATGATGATGACTATTTGTAATCGCAAGTTGTTAATGGTATTTAGGTCCTACACACAAAACGTTCGTTCAACAGAGAACTACAAAAATTTCGAAAGATAAACTCAGACCAATTATTTTGCTATTTTATATAAAATTAATTGAACCCATGTCGGGTTTACAATCTAATATATAAGCAGATTAAATTTATATCGAAATAATTGGAATATTAATGCTGGCAATTTTGCTGAGAGCAAAAGCCAGTTAGTCGTGACGCATAATCTTAATTGATGCCAAACTTTTATGCTGTTCTAATTATTTGGCACAGGACTCTGATGAACGGCATTCTGTATTGTACCCCTTATACACTGCTTATTCACATATACAAATTATTATTTAAAATTGAAAGAAACTTACATCATTACCTATGCTATCATTATAAATGATAAAAATAAATAATTAAACAATACTTTCTCTATACAATACAATAACAAATGAACAACAGCGAATTATATAGACGAGTTATGTAATTTGCTCGGTTAGCCTTTTTCGTTAAGTATATTCTCCAATATATTTATGTACGGCTGCAAATATATATATATATATATATATATATATAATTATTTATACAAAATACAATTGGTTGATTACGCGACAAGTCCACGTAGTTAGAATATGAAATTTAAAGAATCGAGAAAGATCACATATAAAAGTAAAAATAAATCGAAATACAATAACTTTGACTACATATATATGTATATTTTTAATATATATTATATTGTGTAATTATGTAAATGTAACTGTATAACAATTGTTTATAATTATTTTTAACAATTCTATTAAAAAAGGCAATAAATTGAAAAATCAAACAAAACAATTTAAAACATACACGAAAACTTATGCTGCTTAAAAAGAATATAGTGTATATTATATACACATAATTTATTTAAAAACTGTGAAGAAACATTGTAATCCAAAATTTCTTACAAAGGAAGATACATAGATTTCTCGTTAAATGGACACGCTTGATGAAGAGACAATTAAGTGCTAATGTTATACATATATACATACACATATGCGTATACATTTAAAATTATATATGGTTAAGTGAATGAGAACCAATCACAAAAGCATGACACATTAAAAACTTCCAACAAACTTTACCAAAATGTTTTTTATAATGTGGCTTCAGTAGCATTTCGTTTAAAAAATCGTATGATTACGCGCCAATGCTTGAGGCATCGCGGCTTTTGTATCGATACTCGGCATAATATTGGTTGTTATCGGGATGAGTATATTTACAGAAGAAATTAAGGCATCGATATTCGATAGCAGCTTTGTCCATTGTATAAATGTGCTTTTTGATAAGTGCACTCAACTTCGAGCAACAGCTGTTCCTTACAGCTGTTTAAACGGCAACAGTTTCATTTGTATCCGTTAAGTTGCCGTTGGAGTTATTTATCAATTAAAATAATGCAATATAGCTTATTAAGTGTGGCCTTTAGGCAATACAGGCTTTTGGCGAGGCATCATGCAAAATTCGTCAAACGTTGTTACAGTTCAGATATTAGAAACATTGGTATTTTAGCACATATTGACGCAGGTAATAGTTGTAATTCACTATTATTATAAAATAACTAAAATCAATCACGTTAGGCAAAACAACAACAACAGAACGTATGCTTTTCTATGCGGGCAAGACACGGTCCTTGGGTGAAGTTCACCGCGGAAACACGGTAACGGATTACCTCACACAAGAGCGCGAACGAGGCATTACAATATGTAGTTCAGCCGTAACGTTTGGCTGGAATGGTAAGCGGTGGGTGCCTCTCTGATAAATGAATATTAGTAACTAGATACTAAATAATAAATATCCGTAGTATTAATCTGCTGGACACGCCCGGTCATATTGACTTTACAATGGAGGTAGAACAGTCGCTATATGCAGTTGATGGCGTTATTATTGTGCTGGATGGCACCGCAGGTGTGGAAGCGCAAACAGTTACCGTTTGGACACAGGCTGACAAACACAATCTGCCGCGGCTTGTGTTCGTCAACAAGATGGATCGCCCAGATGCCAATTTTGATAAATGCGTTGACGACTTGAAGGCGAAACTGGATGCTAAGCCCATTTGTATGCAAATTCCGGCAAAGAATATTGATGGACAGTTGGGTAAGCCGAGTGGAAGGATTAGTAATGAAAAAATATTTAAAATCAATATATTGCAGGCATATACGATGTGATAACAATGGAGCTCTTAACCTGGCAACAAAAAGATTTAGGTCGTACTTATAATAAAGTTAAATTGGAAGCTTCCGATGAGCTGCGACAATTGCAGGATAAGCGCAATGAGTTGATCGATGAGCTATCTGGAATTGATGATGAACTGGCTGAAGTGGTCATTAGCACTGAGAGCTTTCACAACATCAGTAGTGAGCTAATTGTGCAGGCCCTGCGACGCGCAACGTGCAGCCAGAAGGTTGTGCCCGTTCTGTTGGGCTCCGCATATAAAAATATTGGCATACAATGTTTGATGGATGCTGTGAATGCTTATTTGCCAACACCCGCTGAACGAAATCAAATCTACAATTGTTTTGGGTAATTATCCGTGAGAGTCAAACTGTTAATATATCCACTATAGTATTACATAATTGCAGCAATGATTTGGCGGGCAAAGTATTCAAAATTGTGCACGATAAACAGCGCGGCCCACTCACTCTGGTGCGCCTGATACGTGGCGAGCTGAAGCGAGGAATGCGTGTGCTCGGTTCGCGTGGACAGGCGGAGGTTATTACGAAAATTTATGAGCCACTGGCTGATGAATATCGAGAGGTGAACTCCATCCAGGCGGGCGATGTGGCGATATGCTCGGGTCTGAAGGTAATTATTAAATTAACAATTGATTCGTGATAAACACGCTATTTTACAGTCCACAGTTACTGGTGATCTGCTTACGACCAGTCACACATCCTTGAAGAATGCACAGAAACGTTTTCTGCAAAGCCAGGACTCCACGGTCCCCCAAAAAGATAATGATGACGGGGATGATGAGCTGGATGTCAGTCATGGGCTGTTTTCGTTTGAGCCCAAAATACCTGATGCAGTCTACTTCTGTTCTATCGAACCGCCCAGCATATCATCTCAAACGGCAATGGAACAGGCGCTCAAGCAACTCCAGCGTGAAGATCCCAGTCTGCGTGTTAGCTACGACTCCGTAACCGGGCAGACGGTGCTTGGCGGCATGGGGGAACTACATATGGACATTGTTAAATCACGTCTGCTCACTGAATACAAAATTGATGTTGATCTGGGTCCGTTGCAAATTGCGTACAAGGAGACCATCGAAGCACCTGCCATAACGACTTTGAGCGTGGAAAAAGAAATTGCGGGCAGCAAGCAAAATGTGAATATAACGCTGGAAGTTGTCAATAATCAGACCGAGCTTTTCAGGTAATTACTGACATTGGGTCGTACTGCGAGTTTTCATTACATTTTTGGTCTACTAAAGCCTAGATAAATCACCTGAGAATTTGCCAAATCTGAATGTTCTACGTCCTCGACTTCTTCAAGTGGTGCGCAAAGGAGCAACTGCTGCTTTGGAGCGTGGACCGCGAGTTGGCGGTCAAGTGGTGGACACTCAGATTCGTCTCCATAATATCACAGTGGGGCGTGGCACTGCCGACTCGTTTGTCATGGCTGCGGCGGCACAGTGCGTACAAAAGGTTAGTCCCCTTATCGCCTTCACTTAAATGAATATTCAATTCATATTTTTCTACCAGGTCCTGACCACAAGCGGCACACGGCTATTAGAGCCTATCATGTCCATTCAAATTGTAGCGCCCAATGAGCGTATATCGGGAATTATAGCTGATCTGTCAAGGCGTCGCGCAATTATAAAAGACGTAGCGCCCAAAGGCGACAGGAATAAGGTGAGGTGGAGCTAATTAGAAATTAATAATATTTCAACTACTGTTCTTTCAGTTGATATTTGTGAATGCGCCGTTGGCCGAGCTATCCGGCTATTCCAGTGCACTGCGTACGATCAGCTCCGGCACGGCCAGCATGACAATGCAGCCATGCGGCTTCTCAGAAATGAACCCCTTAGATGAGGCGATAGCCGTGCGTCGTGCTCAGGGATTGGAATGACACGATGCCACACTGATGGTTATCTAGTTTTAATTAACATAGTTCCCAATAAATGTTATGCCCAGTAGCAAATGCAAAGTTTGTCGAAGTTTTGTTATCATTAGATTCACAATAATAATGCATTCGTTTTAGAAATAGTTTTTGAACTGACCAGAATTTAGTATTTTAAAATTTGTTTAAATTTGTGTTACAAAATTTAATGAATTGAACCGGTGCGAACTCTTTGGCACTACAAAATGGCGTTCTCAACGCAAAAAATATTTTTTCATGTACCGTTTATGAACGAAAAATACGGCTTTGAGTGCGTGAACCCTTGTGTAAAATTGAAAAGTTATCCGTCAACAACCGATAAGCGTTCTTGGTCAGCGAGCGATACCAAAAAGTCTCGGTTTTTGGTTGATCTAGTCGGTTGCCATACATTTGTGGTCGTGCGCCGTGAGCGAAAACGCAACAGATCTCCCAGCAAAGGTCAAGGTCGGGGGCGTACTGGGGACAAGGTACAAAGTGCGGAACACAAGAAGGCCAGAAAGAGTCCAAGTCGCTACGGGGACTCAAGAGGCCAAGAGCAAAGCTCAGGACGTCGGGCACGTTCTGAGCCAGATAGTAGGCATGCATCTAGCCGCAGCCTGTTTAAAGGACGAGGTGGTTATGGAGGTCCAGTACCGGGTCAAAGAGGACATGGTCAGCCTGGCAGACGATTTTCAGGACCCAATCCGGGTTATGGAAATCCGGTTCAACGCCAAAGAAGTTTTCGTGGTCCAAATCTGGAGAATCAGGGCCGTGGCGGGCGAGGTTCAATCGCACACCAGGCCTGGGCAGCGGTAAATCCTGAAGAAGGGCCAAGACAGGAGCAGAGTGGCTATGAATGGCCCGGTCTGTATGGAAAAGGCTCTGCTGTTCCTGAGCAGAGTGGTGATCAGTACGGGTATGGAGGTCCGGGCCAAATGAGCAATTATGATTGTCCAAACCGGGAACGAAATTATTCTGAAGGTCAAGAAAACTTCTATAGTCTAGGAACAGATCAAGGCCAAGAACATGGCGGCAACGTAGATACAGGTTATTGGAGAAATTTTAATTACGGGGATCAAGGACCAGGACAGTACCAAGTACAGGACACTTATGATGCTCCAAATCAGGAGAGTGCGGAACCGGCCGACCGAGCTCAGTATACAAATGGTTACGAATATTCTAATCAGCAGGGTGAGGGCAACTACCCTAATTGGCACCCGGACGTTCGTGAGTTAGGTCAAGCCCACGTGCTTTACGGTGATGAGAATATGGGAAGATTGGGAGAAACTGAAGGAGGACTAGAACAGGGGGAAGGCTGGATCAACAACGAGGGCACGCGACAGCAGGATCAATGGCATGATGATCAGGCTGGAGAAGAACTAGGTCAAAGTTCTTACAACAACGGAACCGGAAATCAAAGAAGTATGTATGACTCATCTCATTATCATGACGCAAGTTAGTCAAGAGAAATATGCAAGCTTTTATCAAACAATAATTTTTCTTCGAAAATTAAGAGTCGCACGTGTGAAATAAAACTATATGAAGAGAAAAGTAATACATCAAAATAAAACAATATAAATTTGTATGTTTGAAAATTCACATGAATTTTTCATTACTATTTTTAATCTCAATTCCAACTGATTTCAACTATTTTTGTTAAAGAATTGAGGATAACATAAACAAAATTGTTCTGTTTGTTTTTCTCTCTCTTATTCGGCTTTTAATGTAAAGGACGTGTCTGTCTCCTCTAGCATGTTCTCCAGCCGCAAGCCCAACAGTCGCCGCTGCATATCCACTTTTTGAACGGAGGCGATAATGCGATCCCCAATGCTTAGCTCAATGTTATTCATATGGGTTTTATGGATGAGCCCGTCCCGTTCAACGCCAATGTCCACGAATGCGCCAAAGTGTGTCACATTTGTGACTGCACCTATTTACGAATCAAAGAGGAAAGTTCGTTGTTTATACATATTGCATTTGTTTTAATGTGAGTACTTGCCTGTCACCACATCGCCAATGCTAAGTTCATCCAATCGTGTTAGGCCTTGCTTGAATAGCGGCCGTTTGTCCAGATCTAGGCGATAATCCTGCAGCAGCTCCCGCTGCAGCGCAACCAGCACGAACTTTAACTGAACAAGTAAAGAAGAAGTAAGTACACGATTAGTGGTAGAATAAATAAATTATTTACCCGATCAATCGGCAGTTTGTGCGTTGCAGCAAGCTCTTTAAGATTCTGCTCCGAAGTGCTGAACTCCTTGATACTCTGAATAAATCTTGCCTTGCCAATGTCCGAGATTTTTAAATCACATTTCCCAATAATGCTGTAAAAAATATAACAAAATTATTAATAACAATTAACATTTTTATATACTTTTTGCAAGAAAGAATTTCCAGTATTGTAATCTTATAAACTCAAATGGCGAAGAAATTGAAGGTTAGTGAGCTTAAGAAGCTTTACGAAGAGCGGTGGAAGTACCCGCCGACACAGAAGCCGCCCAAGATTCGGTTCATTGCTTGCGGCAAAAATATCAATTATGGAATTGAGAAGACTTATGAGCCTTGCTGGAAGTCCCCCATGCCCATGACAGTCGAAGCACAGTTTGGTCCGTGCTGGGATTACCCTCCAGAACGCTATAAACGTCGCCCATTGCCGCCGCCATGTCGTGGTGCCACCATTCCACCCGATCTCTTGGTGCCCGAATTCGAGCATTGTAAAACGGTTTACACGCGCTTCGACTTTCGCCTTGAGGAGTGTGTGCATCAGCAGATACTCTTCCTTGAGCATCTGTTCAGGAAACTGGAAGTGCAATTCACAGACGCCAGGACATTTCAAATTGAGATGGCTAAACGGATGCGATATCAGTCCATACGTCGACGCCTGTTAATAGGTTCTGCATGTGGCATAAAAATCTATCCAGAGTATCTCAGCCAGATGGCAGAAAAGCGAGCACTCTGCGATTTTCAAAAGGCGCACAATGCCATCAAGCAGTCAAAGTAAGCTATTGATGGCATTCTAACCGACATTAGCTCATTATTGTCTTCGGCAGTGCTGATCTGATAGCTGCTGTTAAGGAAGTTAGGAACGCTATGCCAGAGCTGCGTAAGCGATTAGACAAACTGGATCAGTCGGTGAATAGTCCATATATATCAAGTCTGGAAAGGATACTGCAAACCATTCAAGATGTTTACGATTACTTCTTTGAGGTGACGCGTAAGTACAAAACTTGGGAACAGCTCATCGATGCCGCCCAGGAGCATTCAGTCGACGATTATTTGGCCCTTCTACGCACTGAACAGAACTTCGAGAGTTTCAAACATGCCGGTACTGCACATTGCACCTGCATGCGTTGCCAAAACAGGAATCCATTAGATCCATATTTGCCCTACTGGTGTCAGGGATGTGATCGTCACAAGAAAGACGTCAAACTGGTGCAGACCGAAGTTCTTTGTCACAAGAGTATTAAAGCCCAGCTTGATTCTAGTGACACTAGTTATCTGGAGAAGCAAAGCGATACCTCACTTCTACAGGCCGAATTGGAAAAATTGAATGATGATTTAAATTAATTTACCACTATTGTAAATCAGTCGAATTTATGAATTCATGTTTGGGAAAATATACGGTTCAATATTTTTTGTGACTCACGTTTCGGCCAATTGGTAACTTTCAGGGTGCACCCAGGTGCAGTCAAGCGGATTGGTTAACGCTCCACCAACACTAAGTGGTTCGATTCGCACAAAGCCTGCGCATTGAACATAGGTTTTCTCACCTATGCTGCGCACAGTGAGTAGATCCTTGCGCGATTTAAATGGACCCTTTTTTGTGCGATGCTCAATGATCTTTTCAGCCTTCTTTTCGGACAACCCAGCAATGTGTCTGCAAACAGGTGTGCGTAGTAAAAGGATAAGTGATTTTCATTGATTATGTAGTTTTTATAACCTACTTCAACACACTGAGACTCGCTGTATTTAGATCCACGCCCACAAAACTAACACACTCGGAGACAACGTCATTCAGTGTGTCCGTAAGCATTTTCTCATTTACATCGTGTTGGTACATGCCCACGCCCAAGTGGCGTGGCTCAATCTTCACGTACTCACTTAGCGGATCATTGAGGCGACGGGCAATAGATACTGAAATGTGATATTAAATGATATCGACAACTTACTGGGAACTGATTTTAAGAAAGAGCCAAACCTGCACTTATCAAGTTCATATCCATGTTGGGAAACTCTTTGGTTGCTACAGTACTGCAAGAGTAAATGGAAGCGCCATTCTCATTTACAATGCTATAACGAATGCTGCGATTGTCCAAAATGCCCGCTTGGAAGAGCGAGGTCAGCCACATCTCTGTATCGCGGCAGGCAGTTCCATTGCCCAAAGCAATGACACGGCAACTATGACATAGTGAATGGAACATTAAGTTCAAATAGCACAATTTTGAGCGCGAATTCTGATTACTTATGTTTGTTAAGGAGCTGTACCAGTATTTTTTCGGCTTCCTTTCGATTGGCATTTCGTCCATGCGGAAAAATGACACCCGATTCCAGAACATCGGCTGTCTCAGATATAAGAGCCAATTTGCAGCCATTCGTGTAACCTGGATCAATGCCCAGAATGCGTTCACCTTTCAGAGGTGACATCAACAACAGTTGTTTCAAATTCTTCGCAAACACTTCTATTGCTGCCCTGATGGCCTTCTCCTTTAGCTTGGATCGAATCTGGCGACAGAGCAGAGGTTGCACTATCAAAAGGTATACAAATTATAGGTATTGCTTGTTGATTTTTTCTTATGCAGCTTACATTTTTTAGTGTAGCACTCTTCCAGTGCACGAGTAAATACCTCTCTACGTAGAGGATACTGCAGGCCTTGTGACATGTACTGCTCCGATATAAATCGCATGAGATCGGACTTTAAATAGTTGTTTGTCTCAACTTTAACTGTGAGAAATTTATGTTTCTCCCCGCGATTGATGGCCAATGTCTGATGCGGCTTGATTGTCTTAACATCACATTGAAAATTGAAATAATTCTCGAATTTGGAACTATCAAGCTTCTTGTCCGCAATGCCACCAGAAGCAACTTTACTTTTACTCTCTTCCTTTGAGGCCGTCGTGCCCTTAGCTTTGCTGCATTTGAGTACAATTCGCTGTACATTTTGACTGACAATTAACAAACAAAACGTTAAAAACTGATGTGATAGATATGTCAAGATGTTTCTTTAAACTTACAGGCGACGCAGTTCCTCAAGAACACTTGTGTTCTTACTTATGTTGTGTATAATAATGTTACAAATTCCGACCATTATTTGCTCCTCTGTTGCCAAATCCTTGTTGCTTGGATCAATAGCCGAGGACAGCTGCACTTTAGGCGCTGTTCCATAAAGTAAGGAATCGGCATATTGCTCCAAGCCCAAAGCCTTCGCGCGCTCTGCCAAGGTGCCTTTGCTAGCCGGTTTGTATGGGGCATACAAAAATTCAAGCTCTTCGTTGGTCTTCGCACACATCAGTTCGTCTCGAATCTCCGTATTAATCATATTTTCTCTTTCTAGCTGATTAACTATGTTCTCCGCCTTCTTGCGCAGATCGACAATCTCCGAGTAAGTGTTCCGTATATCTCGCAAGCGATCTGGTGTTATGTGATCCACTAGATCTCGTCGATAACTGCGGGAACACACGTTATTATATTATCAAAATCAAGGAGTGTTGCTCAATAATACCGGCAAATAAATGGAATGGTGTTTTCATTTTCAAAAAGTTGCACAATGTTGCGCGCTGCTGTCGGTTGTATATGCTCTGTTTCGGCTAAAAGTTCATGTATGTTCCACACTTTGCGTCGCTCCCAGAACGAGCTACGACCTGTGGTGGAACTGGACGCCGCCGGCAGTGGGCTGAGCTCGCCTTCATCTTGAGGTAATGCAGTCGACAATGGTGGTTCCACTGATGTTTCACTAACATCATTAATTTGGTTGGGCAAGGCATTCTCTTTGTCCTGTTTTGCGCGCTTTTTCTTAGACTCTGATGCATCGTTTGCGGATGCATTACTTTTCGAATCGTTACCTCGTTTTCGGCTGGTGCTGCTGTTTATATATTGTTTATTTAAAATATTTAATATGGGAAATTACAAATATTTCAGTATGGAAAGGCTTACGCGCCAGACGCTACAGCTGCTGCGGCACGATCTATGAAACGACGATGTGTCTCTCTTGGCTTATATTCATCATTATCATTGGCCTCACTTGCATTATCTTCCGAGTCAGAGATCTCAATTACTATATTTCTTTTAGCTGCTAGACGGCGCGGTCTTGTGGACATTTTAGCGAAACGGTTAAGAAATAATGTGAGCGTATGCCTTGCAGCTGTTGTTGTTATCGATATTCATTCGCGTCGCGTAGGAGCATTAGCATCGATAACATTCTTGTACATAACGGCAGTGTTGACAGTTTACCCTAGCCATTTGATAATAAATACACTAAAAATTAGTATGGGATAAAATACCCAGAAATCGTGACAGTCTATGGGGAACTATGATATACATACATAAAGAAGAAATTGCTGTCCATGCCATCTAATAATTATAAATCCTAATTAATGTACATAAGCTATCACAGTTTGTATCTCCGTCTGTCTATCTGTCTGCCTAACAAAACCAAGGTACGAAGCTGGAATGCTTGCAGCAGCAGAGAGTAGTCCCATTGGTGGGTCTAGAAAGGTAGCTGCAAATTAATTGTTAAATATATTTTTAGTATGTTTTCTTACATTTTTCATCTAATCTGCTATTCAAGCATCTTTTATCCATAATCCAACTTATTTGGATAACGGCATAACAGCCGTAATAGTGGGTTTGAGCGTTCAGATTTGAGCTCCATTTTGGGCGTGGCAATTACATTTGTCCGTTAATAAATAAGTGTATTCAAACGCCACTTCGTTATCGAATATAATATAAGAATGGAGAAAAATGGAATGTACAGAAAAGTTAGCTGTACTTAGAACTGAGGAAGTAGAAGGACATGTAATTGTAGTCTCGGATTAGTTAATATTGATCATAGTAGGCTGTGTGCTAGCACGCACATCATATACATATACATAGTTCATTTCAGAATAGTACAGTAAAGTAGCAAATGTGAAAATTGTCGCACGTGGAATATTAGTAAATTTGGTGATACAATTGATGTCGGACGTATTTTCGATATTACTTTTTAATCTCTCCAGCCATAAACATTTCAAAAGAAAAAATTGAAATTTGTGTTCTAAAATAATTCGCTTTGTAAACTCGGCCAGTGCAAGCTCTTGAGCGTTGCAATATGGCGTTCTCTACGCAGAAAGAATTCTTTCATGTGCCTTTTATGAACGAGAAGCCTGATTTTGAATGCCAGGAAGCATGCGTCAAGTTAAAAACTTATCCATCTACATTCGATGATCGCTCTTGGGCAGCCGACGAGGACAAAAAGTCTCGTTTTGTCGCCGACCTAGTGGCTTGCAATATACCCTTTATGTTGCGCCCTGATGATGGAAGGTATGGAGATGGTGATGGGCAAACTGGCAGCAAAGCAGGAAAACCGAGTCAAAAGGGGCAGGACTATAGTAAGGGTACGCACAGCACAGGTCCGAGTCAAGGAGGTTCCGGTGGAATAGGTACAGATCAGGATCAGGGAGATTCTGGAGAGGGTCGGGATCCTGACCAACCCACAAGTATGGGCGAGGGACCGTCTGAAGATACCGATATGAAGGCTTCAGAAGGAGAACCAATAGGGCAAGACTCCCAGGGAAACGATCCGGAAACCCAAAAAGCAACTGATGACAAAGATAATGAAGGACGAGGTGGATCAAATCATGGAAAAGACGGAGAATCCGAAAACGATCATCCATCTGGGGCAGCAAGAGGATTACAGCCTGATCAGGAGGGTAAAGGTAAAGGTGGTGCAAAATCACGACCTTGTGGACCGGATCGCTGTAAGGGTCCATGTACTGCAGACACTTGCCGCGGTTCGGGTGCTCCTGGTGGCCCACGACCTGATCAGGAGGGTAGAGGACCTGACGATTACGGTAGCGGAGGTCCAGCTGTAAGACCTGGCGACCGTGGCGCGGAGGGAACTAGAGATCGTGGTCGAGGTCCGTCAGACGCACCTTGTAGTTGCTCTAAGCAGCGGTATGGTCCTGGTGGTCCAGGTCCAGGAGGCCCAGGAGGGCCAGGAGGTCCCGGAAGACCACCTGGTGGTCCGGGCCCTGGAGGCTATGGAGGTCCTGGTGGACCACCCGGTGGCTCGGGCCCCGGCGGCTATGGCGGCGGTGGTCCTGGTGGTCCTGGTGGTCCTGGTGGACCCGGTGGTTCGTGTCCATGTTCGGGAGGCTCTAGGGGCCCACCTGGTGGACCACCTGGTGGACCACCTGGCCCTGGAGGTCCTGGCAGGAATCGGCCTGAGGATGATGATTTAACAGGCGACAGCCTTCTGGTCGCTGCGAACGATACTATTGAAACCATGAAAAATGCAATGGTTAGCAACAAAATAATAGATAGGGATCCAACAGATCCTAAGGCTACCCCTCCAATGAAAAAAGAAGAAATCCAACGAATAATGCAACAACGTTATGATCCTGAAATAAGCAAGGTGTTTGATAACAAAATTAGGGAGTTGTCAGATGCTAAAAAGATAAATAGTGCCGATGAAAGAGATCTGTGGGATATCCAAAGGGCCATCGACGATATGAATAAGTCTCATGACATATTAGAAGCTGAAAATGGTAATCTTAGAAGAATACTTGAAAAGCAGTCAAGGCGTGCGGCGATGGACAGCATTAAAATTGATCCAGAAAGAAACAGCGATGTGCAGTATTTACAAAATAAGATCAACAATTTAGGCAAGGAGTTGGCTATACTGCGGCAAGCTGAAGATGAATTTACAAGATCTGGGGCACAACGCGGTGGAAATCCTTGTAACGATGCAAACAGTGATGCCAATAGACTTCAAATCATGTTGGCTGACCGTGAGTCTCTCCGCAAAAAGATCAAGGCCTTGGGATCGCTCAACGATTTGTCTAGGGCTGCACAAAAGAAGGCTAGAGAGAGTGCTGAGCTAACTAAAACCGTCAACAACCAAAAGCGTTGTATATGTGACATGGAGAATGACATTCATGAAATGCAGCAGTACTATGAGCATGAGGTCGAAAAAACCAAATACAATGAGGAAGTACTTAAGGTATGTTAATATACTTTAATGTGGCTGTATGTATTTGCAGTATACGACCTTTATTGGTTTTAGTGTCGCTGCAAAGAGCTCCAACAACAAGTGGTCACTCTCCAACCGGCGATGCAGCGAGCTGACACTATGCAAATGGAAATCGATGTTCTAAGAAGTGAGCTGCGAAAACGTGATTTGGCACTAAATGCCTATGATTGCCAATATCAGCAGCTAATGGTAAGCATTTGTCATCGTATGGTGATGAATTTTATGTATTACCCCCTCTTGTCTCCCAAAGCATAAAACTAAAGCGTTCAAGAAATCTGGGTACCGTTACCTAGACGAACTAATAGAAAATTGCAATGATAGTTGTTTCAATGAGACTGGGAGAGAGGATAATGGAGATATTACATGTTGACGCCGTATTATATAATTTTACGTTCTGCCCCATACGACAATTCATGCTTAAATTCTGTAGTATATTTAAAAATTGAGAGTGCATATTATGAAATAGATACAGAAAAAAAAAAAAAAAAATTGAAACATGAATGGTATGAGAGGAAAGTCGTCGGAAAGTACGTCTTTGGATTGCTAGCGGCTCAAACACATGTTTATTTCTCCCTTCCTCTTTCTCAAGCCCTTGCATACAGCTCCAATCCTCAACTACTTCCAATGATTTTCCTCTCTAATCCCTTGTTTATTTTTTTTTTTTTTGACACATCCCATTTATTTTAGACCGTTATATGTGAACTAAATCAGAGGTATGGAAGTCAACCTGCTGAATGCCCTCCGTTTGATGAGCCACCAGATTGTCCCGATGTTGGTGATGACTTGGCCTTCTACACGAGTGTCACTCTGCAGCATATAATGAACGAGATGAGTAAACAAGCAGATTGCTTCAGGCAAATGAGCGAAGATAAGTATGATGGTGGTAAGGATATCAAAAATTTAGATGACTGTGCATGTGAAATGGATCGCTTGAAGAATTTGTTAAAAGAAAAGGATAGTCAGTTGGGTGAACTGATAGAGGAGAATGAGTGCATGTGTGAAGCCGCTCTAGAAAGCAAAAAAAGACTCAACGAATTGGATAAGAAAGTACAACAACTTGATGATGACACAAGATATATGGAGGAGGGTATGCGAGAGAGCATTGGATTAATACAAGATATTGGCGATGTTGCTAGAGAGAATGATAAACTGAAGGGTAAGGTTGATGACTTGAAAGCAAGTGATTTAATGAAACAGTTAGAGGATTGCTTAAAAAAGAAAGAGCAGTGCGAAGAAATCAATAACAGTTTAAAATCTGCTTTGAGGGATCTTGGAGTGGACCCTGATAATCTTGCAAATGCATTAAAAAAAAAATCGGAAGATCAGAAGAAAGCAGCAGAAGACGCTAAGAAAGCACAAGACGCTGCAAAAAAAGCAGGTGACAAGCCCATAGATTCAACTGCCGATAAAAAGGGAGCTTCTGCCAGAGATTCAACAGCCGGGAAAGCTGGCGCTAAGCCCGGTGATTCAACGTCCGGAAAACCTGGCGCCGGAGATTCGGCAGACGGAAAAGCTGGTGGTAAGGCCGGAGATTCAGCAGCTGGCAAATCTGGTGCAGATTCAGGAGCTGGGAAATCTGGAGCGGATTCAGCAGCCGGGAAATCTGGTGCAGACTCAGCAGCCGGAAAATCTGGTGCAGATTCAGCAGCTGGAAAATCTGGAGCCGATTCAGCAGCCGGAAAACCTGGCGCTGGGACCGCAGATGCCGGAAAATCTGGAGCCGATTCAGCAGCCGGAAAACCTGGCACTGGGACCGCAGATGCCGGAAAATCTGGAGCCGATTCAGCAGCCGGAAAATCTGGTGCAGCGGCCGGAGATTCGGCAGCTGGAAAATCTGGTGCAGCGGCCGGAGATTCGACAGCTGGAAAGTCTGGTGGTGCTGCGGGTGGACAACAAGGCGCAATGGGTGGAGCCGGAGACGATAAACAAGGTGCTGACGCGACCGCTCAAGGCCAAAAAGGAGGCGCTGGTACCGTTGGAAGGGGCTCGAAGTCCACCGGGAAAAAGGGCAAAAGAGGAGAAGGTTCGACACTGGATGATACCACTGAAGAGCAGTTTGACGAATTTGTTAAGAACACAGCGAAAACGTTGTCTGCCGGCGAGATTGATGGCGTTAGCTTGGAAAGGGAGTTACGCAAAATTTTGGATATGTTTATTGATGAGTGTGGATTTTGTTTCTGCAAATGCAATATTCCGAAAAGCCGCTTTTATGCTATATGCCATAAGCTCTACCATCATGGGCTGCACACATTGGATTTTAAGGACCTGGCCTATATGCACAAGCGTATCTTTGCTGCGGCAGAGAACATTCTGCCTGGATGCCTCTTTAATATGATAATGAAGGATATAATGTCCTGTAATCCACAAAGCATCGTGCCATCAACAGCTGTCCAAAAAAAACAGTGCTGCACTTGCAAGAGCTCACTCTGCTGCGATGACACTGAAGACAAACTTATGTTAAAAGGTTCGTTTTATTATTATCTATATGTATCTCTATCATTACTTGTTGTTTTTTTTTTTATTTAGTAATGCGTCTGGAAAACGACATTGAAAATGCCAAGGTATGTTTAAAGAACCTAAAAAGCATTCCATCTAATCTTTCCATACATGATTACCGCATTGAAGGCGGCGATTGTCCTGCAAAGTAAGTTGATGGAAAACAAACTTCGGTTGGCAAATATTAACAAAACTTCACTATTTGCAGGGATCGTGTATTACGTTCTACTCGTGGGGGAAATTCGATTACCATTTACAAAGAAATTAAGCAAGCACGACGTGTTAAGGTAAATCTTATCACACTTACAGTTTACGTATTTTCAAAACTTTATTTATTTTTTTTTATAAATTTCAGAAAGGACTTAGCACAAACAATTAATTATGTTTTTGTTCTTGTCTTTTGTACACATTGGGTTGGATTAAAGTAATACGTCCGATTAAACGTTAACAAATGAAAATCCAACCAATAAATTCGTTGTGTATATTTCATTTTTAAATGAACAATTTAAATAAATGTTTAAATCGATAATCATGTGTACTCGATGTAAATATGGGCTAAGGTATCGATAGTTTGCCGGTTAACAGCTGATCCGCTTATATCGATAGCTGATTGTATAAGCATGCAGTAAGCATTTAAGTTCCGTGGTTTTAGAAAAAAAAGAGTCGAATTAGCCATGGAAAAACTAGTATGCGCCAGCAAGAAACTCATCCAGATGCAGGTGAGACTGAATAGGATATTCAGGTGCTCCTAGGTTTCACCATAGCTTTTGTTTTCACCAAAAATTTCAGATGCCGCAGGTTGCAACATCTGGAGTGCGTGCGTTGCTTCCGGGCTTACAAAATGCGTGTCAATTACAGCAGGTGCGCCATCGACAAACTAAACACTGGAAGCCCGAGTTTAAGAGGTTGCGCAAGCTAAAGTTTGTGAAAATTGACTTGCCTAATTTACGCGAGAAACCTGAAGATGTGAGCAAGGAGGAGATGCGTAGCCGTATGAAAGAACGTGGTGTATTGCCTCCTCGCCCATGGATGGAACGTCCGTTTCACATCAGTTGCACGGGTGGAATATTTGAGGCATACGTACCCCCCGAAGGGGATGGCAAGAAGTCTATCATATCCTCTTCGGGCGCTAAGCAGAAACTAGAATTTCTTGAGAAGAAATCGAAGAGCCTTATGGCCATACGAAAAATACGGTCTTACGAGGAGAATTTCAGCACCGATGACTTTGGCGCACAAGCCCAAGAGATCTACATAGCAGCGCATACACATATGGCAGCAAAGGAGAAGTATAAGATCAGAGAGTTTGTGAGCGAACGCTGTTATCCTGAAATGATGCACAATGTTAAGGATAAGACAATACATTGGCGTTTCCTGCAATCGTTAGAGCCACCTCGTGTTGTGCATGCGCGCGTCACTGAAGTGATCACCAAGGAAAATCAGTTTGCCCAGGTCACAGTACGCTTTCACACCCAACAAATGCTGGCTATATATGATCGATTTGGTCGACTGATGCATGGTAGTGAGATTCTTAGCAAGGATGTACTGGAGTATGTTGTGTTTGAAAAACACATTTCCAATGAGTACGGGAAATGGCGATTACATGACAAGATCATTCCCGATTGGCTACCAGCGAAGCAACCAGCACCCATTACGTATCGTATCACTGACGAAATTGTTGAGGAAACGACGAAAGAGCTTAGCGCCGATGACCAACCAAAGCAATTGGAATCCACCACAAATCAACAGGCGGAACAGCTTAACATGAGCAGCGCCCAAGTAACACCAACAACTCAGACGACTGAGCAGGGCGCTAAACCCACTCTGTCCATTTGATTGTACTTTCTGTGGGCCGCCTGGCGGCTCAGAAGACTTCGCGTTGACATTGTACAATAACGTTAATCGAAACTTCATAAAACCAATTTTTGTTTCTTTTTTATTTAACATTCACTTTGTATAATCATCTTCGAAATTTTGCAAATGGTATTCGGTATCTGGGTCCATGCGAAAACTAGTACAACTTTGTTTACAATAGCCATTTAGAGGGCTAACGCCGATTACTGATGAAGCCGTTACCGTTATTTCTGGACGTTGTGGAGAAAACATGTAAATGTCTGAAATAGTAATGTAGAATGGCATCATATAAATTTCATCATTGCATTATTAGTTACTCCTTCGTATAATATGTAGTATTTGTACCGAGAAAAGCCGCTTTGTAATTTTTTTTTTCTAATCTTAAAAAGCCGTCAAATGATTTTAAAAATTTTAGAAAAATTAAAGCGTCATCCTGCGGTATTTTTTATTAGCATTTGCTTAAAGTTGTTAAAAAATTTTAAATATATATCGTGGAAATATGTAAATTAATGATTCGGTTTTCGAACATCTTTAACACACCTGCATATTACTTATAATATATGTCCTATATGGGTCTATTTGATGGTAGAAGATACCAAAATTAAGTTGTGCACAAAGCTATACAAATATATAATCAGTTGGTAGTTGGAAAGCGTCAGAACACAATTGTTTTTGCAAAAAAAAAAAAAGTTGTCCGTTTAAATAGAAATGTTTATTTATTTATTCAAACTTAAAATAACGTGCACCTAATTATAAATATGATAAGCTTGCGAAGCAGCTGTGTGCCGCAACGCTTGTCAGATATCCTTGTGATGGGCACTTACTTCTAAAAGATTTTTCATAGAATACAAATATTAATAAATATATATATAAAAGTATGTACAATGATCAGTCGTAGATCGATAAGTAGACTTAGGGCTAAACAAAGCTGCTGCTGGGCTCATCAAGATACGCACATCGTGTGCCCGGCTGGTCCAGCGATTTGCGTGCTATGTCCAGCGGTAGCTTAGTGGCAAAGGACAAAGCTGTGGCTGTTGCTGAGGGTGACGTACTCGTCGTCGTGGAAGCCGACGTTAATGCGGGTGCGTGATTGGCGGGCGAGAATTTATTGCTGTAGCTCCCATTGGGCGGAGCATTGGCCACGCCCCAATTCGATGGTTTGATGGGCAACACCTTTGGCTTGGGCGGCAATGGTGGCGGTGCTTTAGCGAATTCCTGTAAATCCTGTTGGTCAATGGACACTGACGCTGACGTTGTCGGTGCCATTGCCATTGCCGGCAAATCGGTATCCACCTCAGGATCCACTTTCATGGGTGACTGTTGGCTGCGTGTAATGGAGAGCCGTGGCGCTGGTTGAGGCGCGTCCATTCCGCTGCTGCTGCTGACCTTGTTAATGGGGCTCAAATTGGCGCGCACCTTGCGTAATTTGGAGGCAGCCGCATTGAGATTCTCTTTGTTCTTCAAAAAATCGGGCAAATCAAAATTAATCTCCGTGCCCCGTTGATCCTCCAGGCGCGCCAGCTGTGCTCGCTTCAAGCCTTCGAGTAGTTCATCTGCAAATTATGAAATTTCATTATTAGTCAAACATATGAAGATCCCAAATGGTTCGTCCACACTCACCCTGGTGCTCTGCTACTCGCTCCGTGCACTGCAACTTGACGCCCGCCTTGAGTTTGGCTATGATGGGTTTCTTGGGATCGACATGGGGCATTATCGTTGCTGCTGCGGCTGCGATTGCAGTTGCCTCCTCGGAATGTTGACTGCTCGTGGATTTCTTTTTGAGCTTGGGCAGCTTGCTGCCTGGAATGTTGCTATTGTCGCGTTGTTGTCGCCGCATGCGATCGAACAGCGTGGAGGAGCTCTCCGAGGGGGCTTCATTCGACTTCATGGAGCACAGATCGCTTGGCTTTTGGGTCGGCGCTGCTGCAGCATCCGATTTACTCTGCAGCAGCTCATTGAATACCTTGTTGGTGAGCTCGTCCAGCTGACCCTGCGTCGGATCCGTCGTCGCCAGATCGGGTAGCGGTTTCATTGGTTTACTATGCTTCGGCGGCATATTACTGCCGCCGCCTTGCTGAAAATCCGGCTGGATCAGTACTATTTGAAGCCGCTGCCCATCGGCCACTGTGACGGGCTGCATCAGATCAAGCGGGGCTTGAGTATCTCGCACCAACACCTGCACGCTCTCCATTCGATAGTTGTATTTGTTCAATATGGGCCGAATTACCTCGTGCAGTTGCTTCTTGGGCTTGCTCTTGACCGATATGACCTTGGGATCGGGCAAATCCAGCTTGAAGGCCACCCGACGTTCGATGAGCACCTCTTTGCCAGCCAGCAACTTTGAGGACTGCTGCGTGTCTATAGACTTGCTACTGCCCTGGATTACAACATCATAATGGGGATAGACGAGGTTGCGTTTTTCCAGTAGACGCTCCACTAGTTGGGCTACTGTCTCGCCGGGACGGGTCTGCACAATAGTTGTGGCTCCGTCAGTGAGTATGACCCGACACAAGGAGCAAACGTTGTCCGCACTAAAGCCCTGTCCGGCCTGGTTCGCATCGAAGGATGACAACGAAGAGCGGGAACTGTGTAAATCGCTCACCGAGCCGCCAGACAGCAACGTCAACAGCGGCGCTGGCACCCCTGTGGTTGTTGAGCTTGGTGCTTGCGGTGGGGGCATCAACGTTTGCTGCAGATCGGCAATTATTTCGTTGCGATCACGGGATTTGCTCCGCGTCTTACGGTGCCAGGGCAATAGACTCTTACGTCGCCGATCCTCGGCATTGCTTGCGGACTTCTTGAGCTGAAAAGGCGATCAACGTATTAATGACAAAAGGCAACCCAGGAAATAAGTTCAATTGCTTACCTTGGGCGAGGCCACTACGTGAAAATTTGTCTTCAATAGTTCATCCAGATCGGCACCCGTATAGGGTAATGTCTGCTGCTTCTGCTCTGCCTCAACGCAGCTCTTATACAGGTCGGAGCGTATGAAGCGCTGATAGCTATCGAATTTCATTAGGTTGAAGATTTGCTTTTGTGACGCGGCAAAAATGTCCGTATCGCCGCTTGCCAGCTTCTCGTCGCTTAGATTACGCGCCTGCGAGTCCACGTTAACCGGATCGCTGCTGTTGTTGGACAAATGCTTGTTGAAGATCTCTCGGGCCAGAGCTACGCGCTCTGACTCCGATTCCGTGCACCTGTAGCGCTCGCAGGCGGTCCAGAAGTAGATATTCTCGGCGGAGAATTCCTTTTTCAGAAACTCCGCAAAGGTCTGCATGCCGGCGGCATCCTGTAGCATGCGTTCGAACGATGTGCCCCAGCTGCTGGGACCCTTCTGCTCTGGCGCCGCCAGCTCCTGCGTGGACTCCCCACTGGTTGCCTTTACCATCACGCTGGACGGCGGCGCCGGTGTGGTAAGTATTTGTGGCACCTGGAAAGGTCCCAGCTGCTGCGACTGCTTCGCCGACTTGAGCTCGTCCAGCATGAGCGTCTTAATGTACACATCGTTATCGGAGGCGGTCATCGAGGCAGAGCGTCGCACTATTGGACTGTTGCCAGACCCTCCTGCTTTGGCCACCTTGTCGGTGCGCGTCGTGCGAAACGATGATTGACCCCAGGCTCGACGAAAGGGCGAGGCATTGGACGGCAGTGCGCGATTCTAAAATGAAAGCGAATAATATATACATATATATTATATGTAATGGTAACATTTTTTTGATAGTAAGTACATGCATCAGAAGTTGATAAATAGAAACTTAGGTTCTGCTTCATTTTCTAGATAATATAATTTTCGGATATGTTCGGATTAATGTTTCAGCACTTTGCCTATCTATTATAACAATTTTTATTATTTCCCGTACAACTTAATTTTGACCGCTACTCAGCTGTATTCAAAGTGTATTCATAGCCATCTTGGAGTTCAAGCACCCCCTACGACAAGTTCATTTTCAGGGGCATTTCACAAGTACAAATTGAGGGAATGTAGAAATGAGGGACAGACTGCCCGATCACGTCTGTCATTATCACGGCCAAGCCCTAAACAGACAGCACGATAAACTTTTGAACTTTTAGAAGTTTTACATGTAAGTGTATGTGCGTGAGTATATGTGTAGGAGTATATGTGTAGGAGTATGTGTGCAAGTGTGTGTGACGCGTGTAGCAACAGCAACAGTTGGCAGCCGTTGGCAACTATTGCCCTGTCTACCCCAGTGTATTCTACTACTCTAATTGTGTGAACAAATTGTAAAGCTAGGCAAGGCACATACATATATGCATATATGTACGTACATATATAGATATGCATGTATGTGTCTCTCTGTGTATTGTGATGAGTGTCGTTTGTGGGACTGCCTGCTGGGCTGTCCAATCCATTTGCTGCACTTTGCTGATAATCACTTTTGTCAGACAAACTCGAAGCAGTTGCCGTCGCTATTTATACATAATTTTCAACATAAATCTGTTTGTGTTTATGTTTATTTCTCGATTGTATTCTATACCCACACGGTTCCCATAAGAATGGGTTTAAATAGTACTACAATAAACAGTTGCAAATGCTGGCTACAGAGAAATGTTTAGAGAAATTCATACAAAAGAGTCGAGATACATACTATTTATATACTATTATCACTCATTTAATCTCTCTAAATACAGATCTACATACATGTGGAAAATAAAGCAATTCATTTCATTTCATTTCATTTCTTTTCATTTCAATTAGTGTCATAATTTTCTCCATTTCATAGGCTGCTTAACAGCCAATAGCCATAGGGTATACTCCAGTCCAGCTCTTGCTTTCAATCATATTTATGCATTTCCCATTGGTTCACATTTAATGATGCTTTTGTTGCCAGAGATTAATGAATTCTGTTTCTAAGCTCGAGTTTCGCATTGACCAAACGTAAGCCACAAAATATTTTTACCCATATCTATTCATCAATATATACATATAAAACTAGTTGTTGTGTGTGAGAGAGAAATTTGGAAACATTTCCGGCTGGCAAAGTCGACCATAAAGGGGCAAAGCCAATTCCCATGCGACTCGACTTCATTAATAGAAACCAATTGGTTC